ACCACCAGACCAATCTATGTGCCAAGTTTGGTGAAGAAATAGTGAACGGTTTTAGAGTTCTGCTCCGGAAAAGAGCACTACCACCAATTTCAGGCTAAGTCAAACTTGTTGCCATGGAAACGCCAAAAATATTTTATTCAGAATTCCAAAACTACCAAAAGGCACCAGTACACCACCAGATCTATCTATGTGCCAAGTTTGGTGAAGAAATAGTGAACGGTTTTAGAGTTCTGCTCCGGAAAAGAGCACTACCACCAATTTCAGGCTATGTCAAACTTGTTGCCATGGAAAAGCCAACAATATTTTATTCAGAATTCCAAAACTACCAAAAGGCACCAGTACACCACCAGATCTATCTATGTGCCAAGTTTGGTGAAGAAATAGTGAATGGTTTTAGAGTTCTGGGTGCCGTTCCACTAACCGATCTTATCTAAGATCAATCTTAGCAAGTTACGCCAATTTTACAATCGTCTTAGCTAAAAGTTACACCTGTTCCACTACCCGATCTTAGGCCAATCGTAGCCGGTCCCGATCTTACGATCCGATCCAAGCTTAGATCAAGACTCTTTCGTGCGAGAGATAGAGGAATGCGAGGCACGAGTTATCTCCCTTTGCATAGTCTAGCAAATGATGGAAGTAGTTTACGAACCAACTGAGTGAGTGAGTGAGTTTAGATTTACGCCGCACTCAGCAATAGTCAAGCTATATCGCGGCGGTCTGTAAATAATCTAGCTAATTAAGATGCATAGCGTTCACTAACATGGCGTTCATGTTAGTGAACGCTATGTATCTTAGCTATAAATAATCGAAGTCTGGACCAGACAATCCAGTGATCAACAGCATAAGGATCGATCTGCGCAGTTGGGAACCGATGACATGTGTCAACCAAGTCAGCAAGCCTGACCACCCGAACCCGTTAGTGGCCTCTTACGACAAGCATGGGTTATCGAAGTTCAATATTCTAATCCGGGCCTTCTAATGGGTATTTTTCCAACCAAGTGTAAAGCGTGGAGAAAAAACCTAGAGCAAAATATTAGGGTAGTGAGCACCTTGGTTTCAGGTGCAAGTGTGTGTGAACGCTGGGTATCAGGCATAATATAATAAAAATAAATGCATATTTATAGTGCGCCTATTCCACATCCTGGGGCATGCTCAAAGCGCTATGTACAGATAATTTCACGAGAGTATTTACAGCCGAGATTATAAGTAATATACTGAGAACAGGTTTTAAGTCTGGACTTAAAAATGTCAATTGTGTCAGAGCTTTTATTATGTGCCTGAACCTTGTCAATCAGAATAAACAAGGCGTGACGAGGCATCCTCTATAACGTATGTAGAATCTGTCAGTGGTCTTGAATAACAGGCGGCCTGACTTTAGAATCCCCCACCAAATAAGTGCAGGTGAAATATAACATATTTGTATCTTTTTGTTTCAGAACATTGTTCACTTCAAGGCTGTCCCTATTCTTAACCATGATGTTGCAATATTGTTGTACAAATGTGTTACACCGACTCGCTGGGTTGTGTTCCCATGACGACAGTGGTCAGACTGGCCTGACATTTGTAAGGCTTCAGTGCAGTGCTTGTTTACATCACAGAAATATACAAATTTATTTCATGGGGGATTTTAGGGGACGCTCACGGTGAAATGCTCGCTCTTATTTTTCACATAGAATAGGAAAGCCACCATTTTGGTTTCTCTACCATTGATTTTAGCTATCCTAAGTTGGTCATGAGCAACTTAGACTTTCAATCTTAACTTTACGATTGACATGGGTAAGATCGGTTAGTGGAACGGTATGCCGATCGTAACGTCACGCTAAGATTTGGATTTTAGGGGTTTACGATTGGCGTAGGGCTAAGATCCGTTAGTGGAACGGCACCCTGCTCCGGAAAAGACAAATGTGCACGGACGGATGGAGTCCATTTTAATACCCCCCGCAAAACGCGTTGCGGGGGATAATAAATAACTCTCAACCAGCAAATGTACAGAGTGTGGTGGGGTGTATAGCTGTAACGATACGGCAACACAGTGTTGTATCGTAATACAAGTCTAGTGAGATACTGACTTACAAGTTCCGTATCGTAATACAAGTCTAGTGAGATATTGATTTACAAGTTCCGTATCGTAATACAAGTCTAGTGAGATATTGATTTACAAGTTCCGTATCGTAATACAAGTCTAGTGAGATATTGATTTACAAGTTCCAGATCGCAATACATCTGATACATTACAAGGCATATTGATGTGGGATGTGGTGAATGAGTGAGGGAGGGAGACTACCAATTTTCTGTCTCCCATTTTTGGTTGAGTGGGTTAGATTGCTGACTTTGTGTGCTGACTTACTATGAGAGAGTGTGTGTTCAAATTCCAGATGGGATTTAACTCCCCCATAAGTACTAGAATCTGTGCTTTGCTGAGAAAATGTAACCCCAAACATAACATACATTAGGGTTGAGTCAAATGATAACATCATCCCTCATGATCCCAGCATGTCATTTGGAAAATATGTCTTTTTTGTGATAACACTTTCAAATTAAAATATAAATTCTAGCACTATCTTGGTCAAGTCTCATTCAGGATTCGAACCCAAGATCTCAGAGTTAGGTACCAAACTGTCGCTACACAAACATTATTTAATATCAAAATGAATAAATAAACTTGATTCAACACTGACAAAATCAGGAACAAAATATTAAGAAACATAAGGTACTGGGCAAATCTCTTAGGTCAAGGTTACAAGGAAGGATGATAACATATTTTGTCTTCCTTCCTTATTGATCCAACTTCTAAATGTCTCTCAAAGAAGTTGTCATGGTTATTGTTCTACTTTGACTAATCCAGACCCCTAGGGTATCTGCAGGCTGTATGACATAACGAGCTCATGCCTAATGACCATGATCAGACTGACCACCAGGTGACCACCCACTGACCATCAGTAGAGGGCAGGGAAGGTGAAAGAAACAATCCATAAGATGAAATTAATAAATCTGTTATATCAAATTACAGATAATTTTTTGGGCTACCTAGAAACCTCCTCGGGAAGTAGAACCTACAAATATTAATATACAGAGCGGGGTGGGATTTGGTGGTTAGAGTGGTTTGGGATTTGTGGGTATGTGCGTGCCAGCGCCAGTGTGTTCAAGTGAGTGAACACTTATCTGCATTAGTGAGTGCGAGCCAGCATGCGTGAACAGTATTCCAGTTACATCACAGCGTGTCAGCTAATGCAGGACTGAGTGAGTAGGGTTTGACACCGCTTTTAGCAATATTCCAGCAATATCACGGCGGGGAGTGGGTGGAAAAGCCAGAAATGGGCTTCACACATGCATCAGGTGTTTATCATTTGTCCAGTCTGCATCACTTAACTACTGGCTCCCTTCCATCTTTTCACATGTATACATATACATGATATAGAGTTCTATGCATCCTAGCTTTCATTCGCCTGATGAATGAGTAAGAATATACCCCAGAACTCTGAACTTCTCTCAACACAGAAGCTGACATCCATAAATTTCCCCCCGTTGTGTGTATCACTTATGAAAGCTATTCAAAGCCAATAACAAGCCTGTTGAGGTATATTTAAACTCTACTTTATCAAACTATATTCCTATCATAAATAATTCCCATTATCAATCATGTTTGCAAGCCCTGCTCACATGTATTTTACACAGACTGTACAAAGACTACACTGACATCATTTCTCATGTTCAAGACATACTTCTTCTGGTATGGTTGTACTACAGCAGTCAGTGTAAATATGAGGTCATATTTCGTCAATGTAATTTCGTCTCACTTGTAAGAGTTTTTAGAGTATAAACCTTCATTGAGTAAGAGTAAACTCCAACAAGTTCAAAGTTCATACACTTTGGACCCAGCTCTAAGAAGTTCATACTTCAGTGAACTTAGGTGCGGGGAAGTTAGTTTGTAGCTGCTATGTACTGCAATAATCTTGTAACCTATCACAATGTATAGCAACATAACATGTCAATACAAGCATGGGTTACTGAAGACCAATTCTCACAGATCTTCACGGGTATAGTCTGTGTATGATCAAACTTCAAACAATTGCAATATACTCAACAGTTATCAAACGGTTATAATGAAGTGTGCTACCTATAGCAATGTAATATGTGAATACTCGTATAAATTTGCTTTGGATGGAATAAATGTTGTTTGGGGTAGGTAAGTTTGTTTATATAAATTATTGTTTTCAATACCACAGCAGTCTGTAAATCATAAAGCAAGGAAGTGTGCTGCCTAAGTTGGTCCACATGTGCATCTCAGTATGATGCCTGATGCAGATGTAAAGTGAAATCAAAGATCTACATACTTGCCATGCTTGCAGATAGTAATCTATTGTTAATTAATACACCATATCCACGGAACAATGTGTCTACTTTAACATGCTCAGCAGTGAATTATCATTGAAACATAACTTCATAGAGTACATCTGTGTAAACAAATGTCGTTTTAAAGTGATTAAACACACAAAACAGACTTATAATAATACAAAAAAATATGACATGAAACATGTTGAAAGGTATTTAATACTATCAATAGATGTTACGTTATACTGAGTCATCACCACATGTGGCTGAAATATTGCCAAAGTGAAATTCAGTTGTATCCCATTTGTAAAACAATGACTGATACCTTCAAATTAATCCAAATCTACGTCTAATTGTTCCCAAACATGAATTCAGATTTTGTTTCGTAAAAGAGTAAACAGCACTTTATATAATGAAACACAAAAATCCTCAAAATAGTTTGAAAACGGGAAATGATTTCAAAATGCGAAGAAATATATCAGAAATAATTAGCAAAATGTTTCGATCACATCCACGAAGGTCAACAATGAAATCTACCCTGAATGTCAAGTATAACCCATGCAAGACACACAGCTACCACGTGTAAATGACAATCACGTTTTGTTTTCTAGAAGTAAGTTAATATCAATATGGAGAGAGAAAAAAAATTTCAACTTAGTATTACTTACTTCAGATCTCGAGGAAGTGTCTTGCAAACCACCAAGGCAAACCTGTGACCGCCAGTCAATAAATAAACTAAAAACACAATGACTGTGGTCAGGCCACAGCTAAAGCCGGCATAACAAGACAATGTTACGCCTAGTGCAAGGAACGCTGCCGCTTTCAGCAACATGCTGCCACCCATCAAATCGCGAACTACCCAACTGAGCCTCCGAGCAAAGTTGAACTCGACCGAGCGTGACGTCTGCATCAAGCTAATCCAAAGTCCAAAGTTACCCAAGGCGACGCACGTGTGCGATTAGTGGTTAGGTCGTGATTTGTTCTCCGACTTCCTTACGTTAGAATGTGTGATCGTGCATGGTAGATTCTGCTTCCTTGTTCAGACAATAGCCTGACAATGTTTATAATCAAGCGTAGCTTAGAAAACACATCTGTGAAAAGTTTGTTATTTCCGGAAGTGGATCAAAGCGTATCTAGGCAAAGGGAAGCAACTCCAATCAGCAGGTGCGCGCTAGTATTTATCGTGAGCTTAAATGATAGTCAAGATGGCTTTTCAGATCCCAACAGATCACAAACGCTGTCAGCATGATATTTTGCACATGTGGCTTTAGTGAATATATTTAGAATTTAATTAGTTATTGTTGGAGAAACTATATATAGCTTTGATGAAGACAATGTTGTGGGATAATTTAGTTCTAAATATCTTTTGCTCATGCACAGAAAAAATATACAAAAAATTGGCATTGACGTATTCGCCCCGTCTTTGTTTGACATGTCGTTTTCAGTTGAGTAATCGAACTTGTAACAGTCTTACTTTATGACGTATTTCTTTCTTCTTCGCGACAACATACTCAAAAACTAATAAGCAATTTGCAGCATTTAAAACAACACACTCAATAATATACCAGCTTTCTGTTGGCAGTCTGTCAACTTGATGTAATCTGGACCAAAGAGTCAAGTGCTTGATCATTTGAGCAAAGAATCCACGCAGTCTTAGTGAGCTGTGACACCAAATTCAACTACTTCACCAAGGGTTGGTGAGGTAGCATAGTGAAGTGGTTATTTAAAGGACAATACGAACGAAAACAAAACTTTTGATATACACTCAGGGGCAAAAGAAACGATACCAAACTTTTCGAAATTATAATTTGTGTTTGGACTTTGATATTTTGAGTATTTATGGTCAGAAACATTCAGCCGAACGCAACAAAACTGACTCAATGAAACAGCGATGCAGGTGCAAAGCAAGAACCCAGAAAAGTGAACTTATTCACGAAAGTTTCGTGCCCGTGCACACATGACACACGTGATTCGGTATAAAGGCACGTGAAAATGTTTATGAACATCTACATTTTACGATTACATTTGCGACCATGCCGAGATTATCGAAAGAAGAGAGAGAAAGGGCAATCGGCATGATCCAGCTTGACGCTACCCACAATCACGTCGCCAGGATCTTCGGTTGTAGCCGACTTACAATAACCAGGCTGATGACTTGTTACAGACAGAGACAGGCAGGACACGGGACAGGCCGGGGAGTGGCAGACCTCGGGTCACGACCCCAGCTGAAGACCGGTACTTGCGTACCCTGCATTTGCGCAACCGATTCATCACTGTGACGTCATCAGCATCGACTGCCCTGGGTCATCGTATCAGCAGAAGGACGGTGTCCAGGAGACTTTGTCAGCATGGTATCCGAGCCTACAGACCCTATCGCGGTGTGGCACGTAGGCGCCTCCTCGACGTCGACGGGTGAGATGAGCACATATCGTTCAAGGTTGGCAGCGCAGACAATGGGACAGAGTCTTATTTACTGATGACAGCAGATTCCTCCTCAACAAACCTGACGGCAGGACACGAGTGCATCGACATAGAGGAGAGTGGACGGCCCGTTGCTGCGTGCAGGAGGTTGTTGAGCTGTTTGTTGGTGATGGCGTTATGGTGTGGGGTGGGATATGTGGTGACAGAAAGACAGATCAGGTTGTTGTCGATGGGAATTTGAATAGGCAGCGTTATATCGACCAAGTCCTTCGGCCAGTTGTTCTACCCTTCCTACAACAGAATCGAAGAACCGTATTTCAACAGGACAACGCCCCATGTCACACAAGTCAAAGTGTTCAAGGATTTCTCAACGCCAACAACGGTGTTGTCTTGCCATGGCCAACACGCTCTCCGGACCATTCACTCATTGAGCATTTCTTGGGAGGGAGATTCGTGCCAGACAGGTCGCCCCAGTGAACAGACAAACCCTCATCCAGGCTTTGAGGGAGGAGTGGAACAGGATACCTCCTCACGTCATCAGACGTCTGACCTCATCTGTTCGACGTCGTGTTAGAGCCTGTATCGATGCCAGTGGTGACCACACTCGATATTGACTCACAGGAGTGTCCCTGTATCACTGACATTGACGTATCTCATAACATTGGAGTGATCGAATACAGGACATATGAATATTATGTGTTGTTTTGTTTTGCAATTATCTCAAACAATTATTGCCCTCGATTAATGAATTTGATTTTCCATGCTCCTCACCTGTTTGTCTTCAAATTACAACATTGATTTTCTGTTTATCTTTTGTCATCTTTTATTAATTATCCTCAATACTATGGCATCGTTTCTTTTGCCCCTGAGTATATTGTAAAGGATATTCTAAAAGTCACCTTCCGTGATTAAAATTTCACAAAAAGTTTGTAAAATAGCAATAGAAACATTAAAAAACGTACTCGTATTTCTGCCTATTATGGAAACACCCGACAGTTAATGAGCAGAGGGGGTATCACGTGACATGACGTCATATGTGCCTGTTGCTGATGACTTCCTCTTTGATTTTACCTCACAACTTAACAGTGTCAATGCTAAATCTGGTTCACTGTTAATGGCATATACATGTATCTCATTTAGGAAAAGTTGAAATCTGGTGCCAAAAAGTAGAATTGGACTGATTCATTGTCAGTGCTTCAAACGATTTGGGGTGGAGGCAGTTTTAGGGATTACCCGAGTCCAGAGAAACAATTAATTTACTTGTACAAGCCAAGCTTTAATTTGAGCAAGCAATGTCTGCATAACCTGAACCAAACTTGTCAAACATCCTTGATGGCTCATCAGGACATTTACAATGAAAAAAAATCAGAAAATAATCTTTTCAGTGTTGATTTTATCTCGTATCTTGAAACATCACAACAACCTTGATTATTGTTTTTTTCAGCTTTTTTAAATGTTGCTTGGGATATCCGGGGTAATAATAATCAGATTATCAGATCCTGTGCGATTTGAGCAGGATATGAAGCCTGGAAAGGCACATTATTTATATTCTACATAATTAATTTTCTTTGTTAAAGGCTCCAGTTGCCCCAAAACTCTGGCTATAAATTGTACTTCAATTCTGTCCATCAAACACAGGTGTGCATTTCCCCTATACAGAGTTCCGGTAACATGTATCGTGTAATTTGTTTGGATGACTGCTTTTAGGATGGTTTCATCATGGTCATTCAGACTGACCTTAAAATGAAGCTTTTGGGTGAATGTGCCAGGGTGCCGTTCCACTAACCGATCTTATCTAAGATCAATCTTAGCAAGTTACGCCAATTTTACAATCGTCTTAGCTGAAAGTTACACCCGTTCCACTAACCGATCTTAGGCCGATCGTAGCCGGTCCCGATCTTACGATCCGATCCAAGCTTAGATCGAGACTCTTTCGTGCGAGAGGCACATTGTTTTTAAGGAATGGAGAGTTACGAGGATATTACCCTACTTAAATTACATTCAAAGTATTGGGAATATTTCTGTTATCAAAGTTATATGTCAAAATGACAAAATGAAGTCTTTAATTTGAAGCTGGTACACATCGCTCCATTCCTGAAAAGTAATGGAGCGAGCAGACAATGGAATGACGTCACAAATGTAATTTAATCTTGAATCACACGCGGCTTGCCTTTAGAATCCCCCACCAAATATGCGCAGTGAAATCAAACATATTTGTTTCTTTTTGCTTCAGAACATTGTTCACTTTACGGCTGTCGTTATTCTTAACCATGACGTTGCAATATTGTTGTACAAATGTGTCACACCGACTCGCTCGGTTGTGTTCCCATGACGACAGTGGTCAGACTGGCCTGACATTTGTAAGGCTTCAGTGCAGTGTTTGTTTACATCACAGAAATATACAAATTCATTTCATGGGGGATTTTAGGGGACGCTCACGGTGAAATGCTCGCTCTTATTTTTCACATAGAATAGGAAAGCCACCATTTTGGTTTCTCTACGATTGATTTTAGCTATCCTAAGTTGGTCATTAGCAACTTAGACTTTGAATCTTAACTTTACGATTGACTTAGGTAAGATTGGTTAGTGGAACGGTATGCCGATCGTAACGTCACGCTAAGATTGGGATTTTAGGGGTTTACGATTGGCATAGGGCTAAGATCGGTTAGTGGAACGGCACCCAGGGCTTTTATCTTAAAGGAAAATACGAGTGAATTGCAATAATTTGCTTGGTGAAAGATAAAGTTATCAGAAACATATTACCAAATTTTCAATTAAAAATTATGTATAATTATTTTATTTTTTTATCGCGAAAACAGTTTCTGTAAATCTCAGCTTCGGCCATTATGCATATTTGCTGGAATCCACGTGACCTTTCCGCTCGTGACGTCAAATGTGCCTGGAGTCCGCCATATTGCCAAAGACCAAGCGCTACAGTAGTACAAATTGTGTTGTTTCTGTCCTTTTTGTAAATGGTACGATGGTGTATTCTGTTGCCTGGGGATGCACGGAATCATCGAACAATGGAAAGCCACCATTTCTTCCGTTTTCCAAGTAAAGAGACAGACTTAGGCAGGAGAAATGGTCCGATCATTCCGAGTCGGACGCATATGAAAGAGACAGGCACACATGGGGCATACAAATCCCAAAGCTAGGCTGAAGAAGGAAGAAGTACCCACGAGATTCATTTATGCTCCATCATTCCCTGTTACAGCTTACTGTCAGTGGTATTTTTACCGCTGATTCGAATCCATGTTGGCTGTTAATAACAGCCTGACTGCCTCTACTTTCACTTTTGAGTGACATGAATTAAAAAATTTGGATTCTATCATTAGCGGATTTTTTTTTTGTGATCATGTTATTTTTTCAACGTTACCAGAGGCTTGAATTTGTGTTTAATTCTCTATTATGGTCCCTAAAAATTTCCAGCTTGTAAAATAGGGGAGGGGGAGAGCCCCTATATTTTCGGGGGCAGCTGACCCCCCTGCCCTGCTAAAATTTAGAATCTCATCGGCAATATTTCAGCCTTATCGTAACTAAAACAAGTCATCTATTGATCATTCATAAAGTATGTTACACAATCTGTCGACAAAGGACAGTAAAATAACTAGATGATCACACACAGAGAATTAACACTAGCATGGAACTGTAAAATAAACCTCTGTTATGGAACAATACAATATAAAAACTGACTGGAAATACC